CTTACACACCAAAGGTTCCAGGAGTGGCACCTCATGAATCCGGGGACAAATCGAGGTCCCCAAAACTTTGGCAGAGTCTAATGCCCCCCAGGAACCATCCGAGGGGCCAGCAGGAGGGACAGGTTTGTCCCCCCCCCGGCTGATGTTCCCCAAACTGTGGTAACGTTTGTGATGTTGGGTCTTTTCAGGGCTCTTGGGTTGTTCCCGGAGGCTCCAAGTGGCAAAACGAAACGGGGGGGCATCAAGGGGGGGTCCCCGAGTTAAACCCACCCCCCCGGGAGGTTGGGGGAGGCTGTTGGAACGGGAAAGGGACCGGGGTAAACCTGGAGGGGGTTGGATGTCCCTAGGGAGGGGACAAGAAGGTCGAGGGTCTAAGATGTCCTCGGTCAAGTCCCACAAGCAGAACTGGGTGTCCTGCCCAGCTGAACCAAACCGGTAGGAAATGGGAGGGTCTGGGGAGTTCTGGGGGTCTTGGGGGTCTTGGTCACCCCCTCCCAGGTTTAACTGGGGGTCTGGGAGGTTGTGAGAAGCCCCAGTGAAAGGATCAAAAGCCACCGTGTTGACCCAAGATTTGTGGCCGTGTCCTCGGGCCACCACCCGCCCTTGGTGGAAGGACCAGACAGTGACCAGATCATCTTCACCTCCCGTCACCACATAACGTCCATCAGGGCTCCAGCAGACACAGAGGAGCCCCCCAAAATAGCTCCTCATCATCCCCCTCAACAACATGGAGTCAAAGTGGAAGACCCTGAGACACCCATCCTGGCTGACACAGGCCAACCAGCGGCCGTCGGGGGAGAAGGCGAATTCGTTGAGGGCCCCTTGACCCACCACCCACTTCAGGAGGGGGTTCCGGGGGGTTTTGCCCTTGGGGGAGAAGACACTGAACCCTTCCCCCCTGGTCAGGAGGTTGTACTGAGGAGGGTTGGACCCACAGGGTTGTTGGGAGTCGTAGAGGTAGAGGTGGCCGCTGGCGTGGGAGGCGAGGAAGAGGCGCTCGGTTCTGGGGAGCCACTTGATGAAGGTGACCTTGGTCTTGTCGATCAGGCGCTGAGGGGGGAG